TAGTCCTAGTGGAGTACACTGTTTTGTTTATTTTGTTTTTGTCTTTTTTTGTTTTTACTTCTATACATTGTTAATGTTATGATTTATATCACAAATGACCTTCAATAAACAAATAAAAACAAAATATAAATGATACACATAATTAAAAGCTACATATTTTATTATAATCGAATTCATCAAAATATTTTTTTTTATATATTTTTAATTCTTTTTTTTCCATTTATAACAATGAAAAACGACAAAAAATAATAAAATAAAATTTAAAACAAACAAACAGACTTTGAAGTATACGAAATACAAATTCAATCTCATTAAAAAAAATTATTTGTATTAATGTTTTTCTTTTTTATTTTCTATTTCTAATTTTTTTTAATAAATGTACCATAAGATTTATTATAATTATTATTAGAGTTTTTTAGAGTAACACATAATTAAAAATATAGTCATATGTTATATAAAACTTAGAAAATAATTATGATCCAAAAATAATGATAAAATTATTCTTGTCCAGATAAGTGAAAAAACTATTTACTAGCTCTTTTGACATAACATCTACACCAATATAGTCTTTACAGGAGATCCACACATTTACTAACTTAACCATGGTAACTAATTAACCGCCAAGTGAAGACTTTTTAATCCTAATTTCTGTGGCTAATATGCTTCCCTCCTCTGTATTAAAAGTTGTTGCCTTTGTTAATAGCGTATGAATACTGTTTTTTTTCCAGTAATATCATCGTATATCTGAGCAGTTTCTGAATAAATATAAAAGTAATAAATACTGTTGTAATTAAGATTCCTCCATTAAATCAATATCAGTCCTTTTAAATTAAATAGTGTGGTTCGATTGTCATTGAAAACTATATAAGACTTTTCGGTAATGATACTTCAACTATTTTGTATACTACGAACTTCCATTGTCAGTTCTACACTATATTTAGTACGTAGTAAAAGAAAATTGTATTGTTTCACGGATGGAAGATCAGGACATCGTTTATGTTGTTTGTGGGAAGTGGATTCGAGACTCGACTAGGAAGTGGGTATTTGAGTCCTTACCCATCGAAGGAATGAGTTACATACAACTACAGACCGGGATTAGTCACTCTGAACTGGTGAACAAAGTGAAAGAGAAGCTACAGTTGACGCATCAAACATCTCCGACAAACTCTCTTACTGCGATGATGCTATCAACACACAAAGGACCCCAACATATCAATGGTCTATTGCTGTAGTCAGGAGGAGGCTATTCTACGATTTAGATGACGAGGAGGAGTCCGACTATGAGTCCGAGGATGATGAAGCAGAGGACACTGCAGTTGCTGAAGGGACATCGATATTTATCAGTTGGGGAAAGTTTAAGGAGTCTCTACATGTAATGCTCATTGACAACAACTGCGACCCGATGCTTTTTGCAAGAGACGCTCCTCCGGTTTTTGATATGGTTGAATGTCAGGGTAAGAATTTCATAACTGAAGTGATCCCTTCGATATGTATGGAAAATATAGGTGCAGAAATATGTACTACATATTTTCCACTGTCTATATGCCCCAAATATGATACCCCGCTGTTACGAGAGGATATTCCAATTTGTCCTGCAATTTGATCTACATTTGTTACTGAGTGCATTGGTTCATAATGCATTGGCTGATATCCTTCACGAAGGTGATAACTTATTCATTGGGAGGGTGTTCAAATCGAAGGTCGATTGCAAAATCAAAGTAGCTATTCATGCTATAAACCGAAAGTTTCACTTCCGAACTACAAGACCAACCCCTACGTTCATGGTCATGAAATGTGTCAACCGGAATTGCCCCTGGAGAGTATATGCCGTGAAGTTGGATAAGTTTGCATATTTTCAAATAAGATCTGCCACACTAAAGCATAGTTGTACCATTGACACAAGGTGCAACTACCACCGACTTGCGACTACTCAGGTAATAGGAGAGATAATGCAAAGACAGTTCGTCGGGGCTCAAAAAGGACCTAGCCCAGCTGGTGTACGAAAGATTATGATCGATGATTTTCATGTTAATGTGTCATACGGGAAAGCATGGATGTCGAGGGAGATAGAAATGGAGAAACATTACTGTTCTATGGCTGGTAGTTATGCACTAATGCCAATGTATCTGACTCTACTCAAAGCTTCTAACGCATGTAGTCTCTGCTTCCTTGAGACAATAAAAAACTCAGAAGGAGGTTCGAGGTTCAAATACTGTTTTAATGCATTCAGCGCTTCAATCCAGGGTTGGCCTTACATGCGGAAAGTAATTGTCATCGATGGGACAAGTCTAAAGGGACACTATGGTGGTTGCCTTGTCTCTACATCAGCACAAGATGCAAAATTCCAGATATTCCCACTAGCATATGTGATAGTGGATAGTAAGAATGAGGATGCGTGGGAATGGTTTTTCCAGAAGTTAAGTACAATTGTGTACGATTCCACCGACCTTGTCTTCGTATCTGATAGACATTCAAGCATATATGTGGGATTATCAAAAGTAAGTCCACTGAATTAGAGTACATAATCTATATTCTTTTTTCCTCCATTTATGATACTATATTATTAACTTAGTGTACGTTTTTGAGATATACTATACATAATTTACAAATCTCTGCATTGATGTTGAAGGTCTTTCCTATGGTCCATCATGTCGCATATGCGGTACATCTGTGGTGTAATGTCTGTGCTTCTTACCAACCTAAGCGCCTTGCAAGTATGGTGAAAGATGCTGCTCGTGCCCACACTGTTAGTGACTTCAATAAAAAATTCATTGATATCAAGGAGTTGAACCTAGGATGTGCGTCTTATCTTAATGACATCGGTAAGTTTGTATAAACAATGAAAAATTTATAGACTCTAATTTCTATACTATACTAATATTGTCACGTAATATAGGATTTTACCATTGGACCAAAGCACATTTCAAAGGACGCCGATACAACATCATTGACACTAACATCGCCGAGTCCTGGAATGCGGTACTTAAAGAGGCTAGAGAAATATCCATTGATCTGCATGCTGAAATACACAAGAACGGCTGTCCTGTCTTTGTTTGCTCTGAGACGTGCAACAGCAACAAGGTACAACGGGATAATTACCCATCATGCAAGAATAAGAGTGGAGAAATACTTTGAAAAAGCTACATGTTTGGCAGTGAGAGCTATAAGTGGGTTTGAGTTTCAAGTACAGGCTCCAAAAGGTGAGTGTTACTCTATCAATCTAGTAGAGGGCACATTTTCTAGCATGGAGTTCCAAACAGTTGTAGTCCCTTGCGCACATGCACTTGCATGAGCAAACAGTATAGACATGCAAACAGATTCTCTTGTTGCTGCTGCATACTATGCGGAGACATGGAAACGTGGATTCGAGGGAAAGATTTATCATGTACCATCGATTGGAAGTAATGTTATCGAATGAGCATTTAGTGGCGACCTAATGCCACCGAATGTGCGCCGACCCCCAGGCAGGCCTAAGAAGGTCCAAAGTATCTCTAAGGGGGAAAACGAAGGTTATTGCTTCTTATTATATCTATTAATCGATACTATATTATATAAATGATTATCGAATAATATAACAGATGAATACTTCTTACACTGTTATTTTTATAAGAAGGGAAAGAAATCAGGCAGGAGATGTACTCGTTGTCATCAGTAGAGGCACAACAAGGCATCTTGTCGCAACGCAATATAAGATAATTAGGAGAGGCGGGCATAGGAAGGAAGTCCGAGAATGCAGGTTTTTAGGGACCGGGCTAATAAGCAACTATGCAAAGTGTGTAGAAAACAAAAGCCATCAGCTATATTTTGTTTATTGTACTGTGTACTAAATATAATGGTATATGCAGGAAATGTACTATACCAAAATATTTAGTATGACTTGTAACCTAAAACAATTGTTATATTTGTAAATACGGTCTTGCTGGCCATGTAGATATTGTAAGCCTACAAGACCTTCCCTTTTTGTGGATATTAATAGGATGTCCTTTTTATGTTTAAATTTGCTGCTTTATATATACTTTGACAAACACATTATTTCACCTCTCGGGTTTGCAATCTGAAATACTAATGTTATAAAAAAGTATGTTACCCTATGAAAAACGGAGTGATTAAAAGTAAACCAAAGAAATTCTAAAGAACTTCCTTCACGTTCTGGGTTTACATTCTGCAATTCTACAGGCAGAAGATAGTATAGGTGATATAAACAACCTACTAATTGGACAACGTAAACCCAACCAACTGGAACCAATACCCAAGCCTCCCATACTAAATAGTAAGCAACAGAACTCCTTACCCCCTCCCTATCCCCTTAAGTATTTTTTGACGAACAACTTAAGTGACTGCTCTGGCGATCAATCTGTCAATACTACAAGTGTAACATAGTATAAAATTTGACGAACAACTTCAGTGACTGCTCCAGCGATCAGTCTATCAGTACTACAAGTGTAACATAGTATAGAACGCATAACTAACATACATGAACATGAAACTAAAATATTAAGTACCACATAAACCATTTATAAATGAAAACTAAAGCCAAGCCATTGCAGCCTATTAAGTAAATCGAAATCATTTAAAAGTAACTCTATAGTAGAACCCATCATATCCTCACCCCTATGTATTCTTATCAGCCCTTACCCCCTCCCCATCCCCTTAAGTATAACATTTAGCGAACAACTTAAGTGATTGCTCCGGCGATCAGGCTGTCAGTACTACAACTATAACATAGCATAGAATGGCTAATACTTGGTAAACACATATACCCTAACATGAAACAATAGTATTAAGTACCGCATAAACTCTTTATAAATGAATAAACCCAAGCCACTGCAGCCTATACCCAAACCCCCTTTACTAAACTGTAACCCCCATATGTATACCGTACAATTAAGTAAAGAAAAATCATCTAAAAGTAAATGGACAGTACAACCCATCATATCCTTACCCTTTCGAATTTGTATCAGCCACAGTTTCATCGTTTTCATGGGGATATAAATACTTAGTTTCTCAATATATATACCACATAGATTAAATCATATAGATAGAAGATGATAATAGTTTCTACATAAGCGAACAAAAATGAAACATTCAACAGTCGAAAACATATAATGCATGACAACGTACAAAGTAGAGAAATTAAGACATTAATTAGACAAGAGAGATGGGTTGAAGCAAGTGAACACCTCCATGGCGTAGTTAGCGGCTGCAATGCGAAGAGTAGTCTCCATGATTTTCGAACAGTCAGATGGTTGGCTAGTCGCATGCATCTCCAAAAGCGCAATTGCAGTCACCCCACTGATACATACAACATAGAAAATCAGCTTCATAGATGGAAATTCATACCATCCCATACTTTGAAAGTTCATCGAGAAATGGTAAACCATACCTGTCCAAATCCATCCTCTTCAAAGGGAAGTGTGCATTTGGAACTAATCTGGCCGCATTAATACCAATGTGAAGTCTAATTTAATGTTGTAGCATTTTTGCATCTGGATGCAATCGTTGCTCCAACTTGGTATTTGAAACACATGCAATACTGCAGTCCATAACATATAATGACCAGGCGGTGAGGTCAAGTACAATGCCTACCCAATGGGAGTCATCAATCTGAAATGGGAAGTAAAGGAAAGATATGGCAATGCACCACCTCGGCCGGCTTCCAAGTAGAATATGGACCATGGGGAAAATTATGTGCGCTGCCTGGTGAAGAAAGACTTTTTTGGGTCTAAACTCAAATGTCATTAGCCTCTAATCAGTTGTAGAATACAGATCAGATATCAATCGAATTGTGGGAGATGAGATGCAAACAATGCTATAAGCTAAGCAGGATTGGGGATTTGATTATGTAAGAACAAGTCTAACAACCTAATGGTGCAATGAAAGAAAAGAAGAAACTAAATACAAGTGAACAAAACTAAACAATGAACTTAAAGCAATGACTAAACAAGAAATAAACAAGAAATGACTACTAAAGCAGGAACTAAGCAAGATGACTTTGAAGACAATTAATTAAAAGCAAGACTCAAGGTTCTAAACAATTTTGGGACAGCAGTTTTCAAGAGTGACAAAGGGATTTCTACTATGGCATTCAATAAGCATTAACAAGCAAGCAATTCTCAGTGTTATCTTTTAATCGTCAGACAGAAAGACTCACGTCCCCAAGGGTGTTTAAGAAAAACATCAATGTCAACAAGAATCTCCACAACAGTTGGCCTAACATTTGTTGCAACACTTATGATGCATAATATACCCTCAACCAGAAGAAGCAGACCCAGACAAAAACGAGTCATACCGTCCTTATTCTTCTTCCCAACAAGCAGTTTCTGCATCAAGATGAGATGAGTAACCTTTTCTATTTTCCAAATAGTTATGTCCAAATTTTCCAACCACTTTCAACAACCGTCTCCTTCTTCTTTGGTTTCTTCTCTAACGCGGTCCTTCTCTTACGCTCCCTTGACGGCTCAGCTGAAGCAGCACAATTCAAACCAGTCGTCATTACAAAATTTTCCAACCCATACCATATAGGATTTCCAGCAAACAACCACCATAGTTCATACTTTTTATTTGTTACCAACTGCCTCGATATTAGGTATGAACAAACATTACTGAGAAGGTGTGGTGAACCATCTGCATGACCTTGTTGAACTGGAACTCCGCTAGTTATTCCAAATGATCATCATCCAGAGTGTCTTTAATGGTCTGTATCCATTGAAGAGTGAAGTAACTGTTCATCCACTTACGCCCACTAGATTCGTAACCAGACGCAAACAGTCTATTCGGTAATCCAAGCTTATCGATCCTGGAAGAATATAAGTTAAATATATGTCAGATATCGAACAAAATATCCATTCTATGTTGGCTACTTTCACACTATACTACATATATAATATAGTATAGAGTACCATTTCATCTTCCACCATACTATATTAAATGTCCCCTATTCTCCATGTCTGAAAACTATATAAAAAAACCACGAACCATAGCAACAATGGAATGGTCAATTACAGGCGACTATAATACTACTCAGTTGATTCAATTATAAAATAAAAGATTGCCAAGATTCAAACCCCAACAATAACCGATTAGTATGCGTAGTTCCATTGGATACTAAGTTCTTATGTATATGTATACAATATCAAATCTTTGAACAGAGCCGGTCAAAACAGTGAGAGTGAACAATGTGAAGAAATTAGTTAATCGACCAATATGAACAATCATCTACGTCTTCTCCATTAACTAAAGATTTCACTTATTTAATAAATATTCCAGCCCTCAAAATATCTATAGTCAGAAAAACGAAGAAATTAAACAGACATAAAACAGAAGAGAATAGCGAAGAAACCTTAAGAAGATGAACAATGATATTCTCTTTCTTCCAAAATTCATAGATTAAATTAATTACTACAGAATCGAAACCTAAACAGATCTATAGCATAGAAATCTCGAAATACCTTATCCGATCATCTGGTACATTGTGCAGATTTCTTACAGATGGTAAACCCTTTCCCTATCTCAATCTCCTTCTTCTTCGCACTTACGGAAAAACACTGTGAAAATAGTATAAGACCCGAAAACATTTTGTGGTTGCTTTTTGAATTTCCTATTTTCTTATTTTCGCCTGTTAATTTTTACACTATCACATGTATAATCACACCATTTATTTCTCGCCCATACATAAAACCTGCTAAAAGATTAGAAATTATTTTCATCATAGACTTAGGGATTGCTTCGATAATATTACATAAAATACAATATCATAACCATGCTTGGATATGGTTAGAAAACTAATATTAGTTATCCATTACAATTTCCCTATACTAAATAGATAAAAATCAGAAATCCTTACTATTACTTGAAAAGCATGTTTATTAAAAAAAATCCTATGTGTCAACGCCTAAAGAAAAATTAGTAAAAAACAATGTCACCTCATAAAACGTGACATGGTAAATTTTTTAAAATAAACGAAATATTTTTATTTGTTTAGTTAAAACTAAATAAATCTCATTTTTAAATAAAAAACAAAGTTTATATCATATGTGAATGAATTCTGATTATATAGCAAAAATTTGAAATTATAAACAACAAACAAAATTTAAACAGAGAGAAAATAAATGATAAGCATCATCTTAGCATTTTATTATAATAATACTGTATATATGAATAAAAAGTAGAGGTAAAAGTAAAAATGAATTTTTACGACTTTAGTTTTATGTAAAAATCTCAGGCTATATTTTCAAGCATCTCCAACCCAGCTTTATTTTAAATATTCTAATTTAGAGAAAAAAGAAAGGTTGTTACTTTTTCTTTCAATGATAGGGGAAAAAATAATAATCTTTTTTTTTCTGTAAATTAGAAATAGGTTAGATAGAAATTCACTTACATTTTAGAGGAAACAAATAGAAAAAATACATTTGAGATGATCATAATGTTAAATATATTATTAAAGGTTAAGAAAAAAGGAATGAGTCAAAGAAGACAAAAAAATATAATAATAATTTTGATCGATTTTATGTTCTTATTTGAAATATTTAAAAATATTATCTTTTCTTATTTGAAATATTTAAAAATATTATCTTACACATATTAATGTTTTCATGCATATTTTTGCAACATATTAAAATATTATTTCATGAATCAAGTTTTATATATGTTATCATCCATTATATTTTATATTAACAAATATATTAAAGTTAAGAACATATCAACTATTAATTGTTAATATAACAATCAAATATTAAATATACTATTTTACACCTTAAATCATACATATATAAGTTTAGATCCGATCGGTTTAAACGATTCAGTTACAGAGAGTTTGTGGAAACAAGCGATTGCGGATTATAAAAAATTTGACGAAGAGATGAGCAGAGAGCTATCGGAGAATTTTATAAAATATGATTTCAAAAAATTTATAATAAATATTTATTATATTTTTATTGAGAAACATATATCATAAAACGCTTAAAATATTTTTTTTTTATTTAATACAAAACGATAGAAATGGTTTTCGTGATTGTTGTTAAACGCAATAACTTGATCGTGTAAAAACATAATGTTTGCAGAAAATATCAGAAAAACTTACCAACACCTAAATATTACAATTCACTTATTTGTAACTCATACTTACATGCATAAATATACTTATTTGTTTTTAAAAAAATCAACCATACGTTATAAAAATATATATTACAAAACATATACTTTGTTATTTTCTTTTAACATATAAAAGTCATACTTCGATTTTATTACAAATATGCGTATAGATATAAATATTAATTATGCAAAAGTCAAACTTGCATGCAAATTTGTCATGCATACATTTTGTTAACCTTGATTACACTCTGATTTTAATTTTAGTTGTTAGATAATTTATATATTTTTTAAAAAACTTTTATATGTTCTAAGAGCGGTGAGGTGGTTGGTACGCACGAATGTGCGGGCCAACCATCTATTCGCTCTTAGGATAAGTAAATATGGTAAAATTTATTTTAGTTTAATTAGCAATAGGTCAAGGAAAAAACTACTTTATATATATTGGCAAGATTCTATTGTGTAAGGAGAAAAAGAAAGTATAGTTAGATAAAATTCAGAGCATATTATAAGAATTTAATTATTATTTAATATAATTTTTAAATTTGTAATTATATGTTATTTTAAACGCTAAGAAAAATAAAAAATATTCAAAAGACACAAGACGATAGGAAACGTTTGTGTGATTGTTGTTAAACACTAAAACTGTATATATATATATAAACATAACATTTATATAATGTATAAAAAATTAATCAATATTTAAATATTACAACTAATTATGTCTATTAAAAAAATTATAGATGTATATGCGTACGTGCCAAAAAAAAAATTAAATAAACTGTTATAAACTTTAATATTTCCCTGTTATTTAGTTATTATATTCATATTTTTTATATAAAGAAATATGTTAAAATTTTAGTTAATATTTTTTTATCTTTATTTTCTTTTGAAATATATAATATATAATATTTTATATTTAATTTATCATTTTTATTATTAAATATTTATAATTTTATTATTATTATATAATTAATTATATATAAATAAAATATTTTTAATATTATTTCAATCATAATTGAATAAATTAAATGTTTTATAGTGCAGCCGATTATCTATACTATACTTGTTTTGCTCCGGGTCGAGGCTCTTTATTCCCAAGGCTCCCAAACATCCCGGTCCCGGTTAAACAAAAATCAAGGTTATTTCTTTTTATGTTCTTATTGTTTGAGCAAATATAAATAGTTTATACGAAATTTTTTCTAAATTGTTAGATCATCTTCCAAAAAATACACCAACCTAATCTTATACTTTAAGGTAGAGATAAGAACAAATAAACATATTAATTTGTTCATGTATTTGTTCTTAACAAATACACAATCTAATAATCTCTCATATTAAAATATATGTTTTTAATATGAGAAATTATTAGATTGTAGATTGTAATAATTCTAAGGGCATGCATGAACGTGAGACAGGGAGGGAGAAACATATCAAATTCCATTTATATACATGTCTTCTGTTTGGTGCTAACATTACATCTCCATTATTTTTAAATGCGTTAAGATGTCGTTTTCTGTTTTCCATTTTTAAAATCAAACACAGTTGTCTTTGTTAAAGTAATAAGGAGTTCGAGTTTTTTTTTGGATAAAAGGCTTTCAAATCATTTAAAACAATTCTTCATATGTTCTAATCGAGTGTGGTGTGGTTTAATTACTTTCTTCATTTTTCTTTACCTTTTTGGTTTGCAACAAATTAAGTTATTTTTTAAGCTTTTTAACGGGTTAAGAATGAGTTTATTAAGTCGCCAGAAACTAATTTGTGTTAACACCATGGTACTTTTAACCAATTTGGTGGACACTATATATTCATCACATTTTACCACAAGGGTTATAATTTTTTAACAATTTTTATACTAATTTTCAACCGTCAAAAAAAAAAAAAAAACCTCAACCGATATGAATGCTCTTATGTATATATATTTGTGGGCGACTTTGCCAAATTGTGATTTTTAGTTAGGTAGTCTTACGGCTCGAACTTTTTAGTTATAATTTTAGTTACCTCAAAAAAATTGCTCATGAAATCAAAATTATCCAGAATGCAAATTAACCAAATACTACTACCATATTTCTAATTAAGCTTTTCAAACAAAATCACCATTAGGATTAGTGATTAACAGTTGTGAGTATCAAAAAATAAGATTTTTGTTAAATAGCGCAAAGGCGAAGCGATTACAATGGTTGGTATAACCGAGAGGTTATGCTGAAGTAAAAAAAAAAATGTTTTTGCTATAAATTAGAAAGTTTCGAGTTCTTAGGTATTGCTCTGCTGCTCTCTAGATTGTATGAGTTGCCTTGAAGTTGTTCCATGTCTTCTTATTTATAGGAATATGAGGTCGGTTAATGCAAACTCATTTTCCCTTTCTCCTTTGGTTAATATCTTCATATTTGCGATATAAAAATATCTCTTATTCTCTTTTAGATATGAGAATTCTCCTTTTTTCTTGATATTCTTCCGAGCTGATCCGATACTATAGGGATCAATAAGCACCTTCAAGTAGTTTTCCTTTTCGGATTAAGTCGGTGCACCGTCCTTTGTCTTGATGGGCTTAAGTTATTGCTAGAGAAAACCTTTTAAGAAATGTGCTTATTTCCCCTCTAACAGTAAGTCCCCCCTCCCTCCCCCCCAGTTTGGCGAGACTGATTGTAAATCAGCTCGGTGGACTTCATGAAGCAAGATGGTTTGATCTCGCAATGAGAGTTAGTTTGTCAAGAGCGTTCCTTCGTGGTGGCCAGCTCTGCCCGTTCTTAAGCAGTTTTTGACACATGGCACTTTCCTTAATAATTATTTTTTTCTTTTTAATGCGCGGCCCATTAGGGTTTCGCTCCAAGCGGGAAAGGCGAAAGGTCTTCGATACGAGAATTGGAGTTTGATTAAAGCGCCCAACGGAGTTTCTATTTTCTAACTTTGATTTTCGTCTTCTTCAGGAAAGATCTCCAATTTTGAAGCATTTTTACTCTTGAATTTCTTCTGGCGAAGATGGGGTTAAGGAAATGAAGTAAAATTCCTCTGGTTGAAATTGCAACTCCCCCAAGGAATCCATTGCCTTCTGAAGATGCCCCGTCAGAAAATCCTGTTGTCGATGTCGCTGATGCCCGATCTTCTGTTCCTCTTCCCCCAAAGATTTTGACCAAAAATCCGATAGATGCTTCAGTGATCGGGGAACAAGATCCCGTTTATGCGGAAACAGAAAGCCAGAGGACTGATTCGCCAGTTTCTACGAATAGTTCGTAAAAAGGTCTGGGGAATCAAGGCGCCAATGAAGATTCGAATTTCAATCCTCATCAATTCGTACTGCGCTGGAACAGAAATTCCCGGCAATGTTGGATGAATATTTTACTCCGAATTTGGTCTGGCAGTGCAGAGCGAAACCTAACAATGGGATGTCTGTTGAGAAATTGAAGTGGTTTGTCAGTTTCTCGGGAATGGCTCAGCGTTTAGTGCAGGGCCTGGTATTATGCGCGTCTCTGATAGAGTCGTACGACCAAGATTCGGTGCGAGAAGAAAGTCAAGCCGAGGAGTTAATGGCCAAGGATCGAGAACTTTGTGGTGCGACGGCGAAGATCA